CCTGGTTCTGCCAAAAAAAAAAAAAAAAAAAAAAAAAAAAAAAAAAAAACCACGAGGAACGGGGAACATAGTTCCGTGGTAAAATGCTTGCTTAGCACCCATGAGACTGGGTGCTAATGTCAGCAACACAAAAACAAGCTTCAATTCAGCTACACTAGTTTACAAATGACATTATTTATCCTCTTGGTTTTGCCCTTTAATTATGGCTAATGATGGTCACCAGGTAGATGGGCAGCCACTCTGCACACCCATTGTCAAGGATGTAAGCTAATGAAAAGGGCCGGGATGGGCTTCCAGAAGATCAGGCCAGAAGCTGAGCACTCAGGCTGCCAGCCCAGCCTGGCCACCTCATCCCAGTCCCCTCATGCCAGGCTACTGGGAAAATTTGCAAATGGCTACATTTTAATGGGAAAAGAAGAACTTTCTGGGAAGCAGTGAATTCTGTGGGCTTTGCCTCAGCAGCTCCCCTGCTACACACACTCGCAAATGATAAGTGGAAGGGAACTTTCCAGGTTCCTGCTCAACCATTCCCAGGTGAATGTCAAGACCCCTCTGAGGACACGAAATCCCAGAGATGTGGTTTCCATTGCCATGTGCAACAGTGTCCTTTGGGAAAGGAAGGCTTTTATTTCTTGGGTAAACATTTTAGACATCCTAACTGAATTTTTAAAGATAAAATTAAAATACTTTCTGTGGGAATTTCTTCATCCATAATAATAAGGTCTTTGGCAGGGTCTTCTATCAAATAACTTTTAAAACCATAATCTCTAACATCAAGTTTTGGTTGGGTTTCACTTATCTTCTTCATTAGTTTTCCCAGTGTCTAGCCCCATGCCCATTATATAGCCCCAGCTCCTCTTGACACTCAGCATAGGGCTGGATTCTTAGACCTAAAGGCTCTCAATAGTTCTTGCCCATCACTGACACAGTCTTTAAATTGGATGTTGGGTCACAGAGAAAGAGGAAAGTGAATGTGAAGGTTTAAACATAAAATGTCACCTAAAAGTCTCAAGTGTTTGGAAGGTGATTGGATCATGGCAGAGCTAAAGTTGTGAGCAGCTGGGCCAGTTGGAGGTGAGTCACTGAGAGTATGACCAGGAAGCGTGCATTTTGTTCCCAGCTCCTCTTCTCTTTCCCTGCCTGCTGATGGCCTCAGCCTGAGCATCTTCTCCCCACCATGCCACTTCTCCCTTGGAGCCCCTTGGCCATGGCTGAAGCCATGAACCAAAATAAACTGCTCCTTCAGGCTATGAGTATCAGCTTCAGGTTCTTTATCTCAGCAGTGGACAGTGACTAATACAGTCTGTGGGCTCTGGATAGCTTTTTCTCCCTGTTTCGTAATTAAAGGAACCACTGTCAAGGACATCATCTTTAGGTAGCATGTGCCTTGGGGCCTGTCTTACTTTTCTCACTGCTGAGACAAAATACCCAACACCCAGTTAAAGGAGGAAAGGTTCACTTTGGCTCACAGTGTGTAGAGGCTCCTGTCCTTAGTCAGCTGGCTCCGAGGCAGGGTGAGGCAGCCGAAAACATCACAGAGGAGACACAGTTCATGACAATCAGGACAAGCAGAAGGCAGCAAGGCAGTGAAGCAGCAAGAAGCAGCAGCAGCACCAAGCAGTGAGGCAGAAGCCTCTCCCTCTTATCCCTTCCAGGCCACCTACCTTTTGAGTGGTGCTGCCCATGCCCAGGGTGGACCTTCCTATTACCCCCACCCAGAGTTATACTAGACCAATGAGCGGACTAATGTAGTAACCACACAGCCTTAATCCCAGCAGCACACACCCATCTTCAAAATCCCCACCTATGACTGCATGATACTTTGGAGAGATATCTAGATACAATCAATATCAGGGCCTATAAAAAGGAGAAAGAAGCTAGCTTGGCACTATCCATGTAGATTTCTAGTCCATTTTTATTTGTCTGTTATGATTTATATCTGGATGTCCCCAAAATCTTCATATGATCATAGGCAAGACTTGGGGAGATGATTGGATTATGGGTCTGGTATAGCTGGCTGGCTTGACATTAGGAAGTGGAGTAGGGATGAAAGAACTGGGTCAATGGAGTTGTCATGTGGAGTGGTTTATTTCCTTACCCTGCTCCTCCCTTGTTCTCTCAACTTCCTATTCTCCATGCTCTGAGGAGCTCCCCTTGGCCCAGGCTCTTCCACCACACCTTCTTGCCTTAGAGCCAGCCAATTACAGAT